ACAAATTTTCCCCTATATATTTTTTTACAATATACACAGTTATGCCTTAACATATATTTATCATAAATAAATGAATAAATGACAATTATAATTGTTATCATTTGCTCTGGACAGAGTTCGTATGAATAATGTGATCGTTATAGGCCTACATGAATATATTTGCTTTTCACCGTAAGTAATATCTTCACAGAAATAAAATATGTAAAGATGTATTTCAGACTGGGCAATTTCATGGTAAATGAGGACACTAAAGACTATGACTTCAATGCATCTGCCTCCAATCTGTTTGACGCTGCGTTGAGTTGGAAAGACGTGCGATGGTTAAAACAGTTTAGTAGTCTGCCGCTGATAGTAAAAGGGGTATTGACAGGTAAAACTCATATGGGATACAAAAAAGACTTGTTCAGACTGATATACACTATGGGCAATGAGCTCTTCGAGTTTTGTTAAAATAAGGTTAAATGTTAATTAATCAATTTGTTTGTTTGTTTGTTTGTCTCTCTGTACTGTTAAATATTCTCATTTTCCTTTCTGGCTTTTGCACTTCAATGGGGTATGGATGCTATTTACTTGAGATTTGTTAGAGCTCATAAACATGGAAGTGGTTTTATTTCAAAATAAATGCATGGAAGAATGTTGCGCATGCGCATTCGTGCACCTCATGTTTCTCCCTTTTTCAGTACGCACTGGCAGCCTCTGAATGTCATAACCATAATTAAACGTTTGATAGCAATTAGATCTTTTTATATTATACTTTGTAGCGGAAGATGCTATCGAGGCTGTCAACTGCGGTGTGGACGGTGTATTTGTGTCGAATCATGGAGGAAGAAGATTGGATTGTGTTCCTGCATCAGTGGGTGACTTGGATATAGATATGCTTCTTTTTCCTTTACATATTTCAAAAAGTGAATTAATTTCATAATGTCATATGCAGTCATCTTAATATAAATACTGAGATTTAAATGGTAGTATTCTATTTTGAGATGTATCTAGTTTATTCAAAACGGTACGAGTATGTTGTACGGGGAAACAAATATGCCACCGACTACTTCCACGCAAAACATTTCTAGATATGTATTTGCAACTTTAAATGATGAAAAAGCTTAAAATGAACTATTTGACGTTTGAAAACGCCTTTACATGATGTGGCACTCCCACTAGAAAAGCAATTCAATTTCCCCATGTATTCTCATATATTTAGATAGATGTTCTTGCTGAGGTGGTCCGAGCGGTCGCGGGCAGGTGCGAGGTGTACCTGGACAGCGGTGTGAGAACTGGAACAGACGTGCTGAAGGCTTTAGCTTTAGGAGCCAGAGCTGTGTTTATTGGGAGACCCGCCTTGTACGGCCTGGCGTATGATGTGAGTACCGAAGATTATGCCGTGAGGCGCGTTTAAAACTGAAGTGGTGTGACATAGCACTGACCGGAGACTTCCTAAATATGGGGTTTAGAAAAAACATTGCGCCGCATTTTAGAATCTATTGATCACTGTTCCGTACGTTGATATTAAAGTTTTCAACCTGCAAAAAATATTTTCAGATCAGCACTTCATTAATTTAAAGTTTGATGTCTCGGAATCGTAGAACCAATCCAAGTAAATAATGTGTAAGCTATTGTGATATGTCACATGTGTTGATGATATAATTGCTCTAGACAATTTCAGGGAGAGGCGGGAGTCAGACAAGTTCTGGAAATATTGAAAAGTGAGCTTAGTTTAGCCATGGCATTATCAGGTATGTAAAGTGATTTCAAGGCATAGGGGCCATTTTTTGTCTCGGGATAAAGTGAATTTTGATTGGTTAGCATTACTAGCATATGATTCAGATGTATCATATTGACTTTTTTCGAACAGCATTTAAATGGCTGACTATTTTTAAGCATTGTAGACCACATTATGTCATGTATGGCAAAGGACTTCATCCTATCTTGAAAACGGCACAAAGACGCCCCGGATTCATTTGTCGCCACCTGCTACTTTCAGGTTGTGCTTGTCTGGACGATATTAAGAGGGAATTAGTTGTACACGAGAGCCACTACCTGCGTCCGAAGCTATGAAATATGCCCCTTGTTCTACACGAACGAGGTTCGTGATATTGTGAAACTGACAATTTTATAACACAGTTCCAGGATTGATTTTATACGATGCATAGAAGCATAAGAAAGCTTCTTTTCACTGTGCATTTAAAAATGAATTGGAACACCATCGATGACTAGATCTGTTATTAAAATAAATGAATCGGTTCTGGGTTGAAGTGTTTTATGCGTTTTGTATAAACCTATAGCTATACCCGGTAGATGTCAACAACGTTATCCCTTTCGCAATGAAATCGAAAGTGGTTCGTTCATTTTAAGGCACACAATTTCTATAGTCCTTTGAAGAGTTGTATTTTTTGGCAAAAGAAATGCTCCTCCCGTCAAATTTACACAAAGAAGTCAAGCACAACTACTGTACGTGACGAAATGAAATTTAAATTAAATTGACAGGTCTAATGTGTATAGCAGTACACACTCTAGGTTGAATGTCTTCCTGTCTACTATTTTACTAGAACCACATAAGTCATATAAACGTTAATGGTAAGCATTTTGTTGAATATCCACGATTCACTGTTATGCCGCACATTTGTTATAAACAGATTTTCCTTTACAAGTAGAAACTTGGAAAGGCTTCGTCGGTTTTGCCTACGCTGTTATTATATGTGTGTATACAACCAGCCAATTTACGTGTTTCATAGGCACTTTTTAGGCCACTGTCCCGAACATGCCACAATTTGCTGTAACTATTGTTTGAAAACTTGACACTGATTTTCTCTAATCGAAATTTTTGCCTCCTTTCCATGATTCGGGATTTACTCGCCCATATGATATACTCGATTTAAAAGGTGATATATCGCTATTCGCAATTTGCGATGCTTTGGAGTCGAGGTGCCTTGGTTGACGATGTGACCTACTTCTCAGTGACACCTGTGTTTCTTCACATACCGCTGTATCATCCCGTTTTATATTCCAATCCCTAGCTTGACACTTGGGATTAGAGCCAGTTCACACGGGACCAAAATTTGGCATGCCGGTGAGACGCTCCACCTTTTTTCGCAAACATAACGTGCGCATTAGAACATGGGCTAATAATCCATGGAAAGCAGATATATGGCGTATCTAAGCATTCATTTAGAGCAGAGACTCGGCGACTTGACTAGAGACATCTGCATGCTGCATTTAGATGGGTTCAATCACCTTAATTGCCGTTTACCTCTCCTCGCGGTCTCACCTTGTTCAGTTAGCAACACACCAGTTTGCTGGAGTAAACCAGATAGACATCCAAATTACCTACACAAATTTAGATAAATGTACTTATATATGTTGACATACTTCAAACTAGGCCAATTTCGATCCATTATTATGACAGAGTAAGCGGTAGGTGATTCGTTGTAGATTTAAACTGTGAGTTCCTAGAGAACGCAAGTTCATGTGCGTGTGTGCTCGAGTGTGCTCTAGTGTGCATTCAGTTTGTCTGTAAATAGTCACTGGCTTTGCTAAGGTATTTTTTGGGGGGAGCGGGGGCAAAACGGTTAAATATCTTTTTTTTCGAAAACATGCAATAGTCAATATCCAGTAAATTTGAACCATGAATAAATTGTAGGACACAGGGATGCTGAAGCATGCTTGGTTTTGTATCATTTCTCTTATTATACTGTTTTAGATGGGAAAAGGGTCATACATAGCTAAGGCGGGCGGGGGGGGGGGGGGGGGGGGGGGGGGGGGTAAGTGATCCATGCTCTTACATGTTTTTAGATTTGCTCTATTATAAACAATATAACAAAATTTCTTTTTAGCAGAAGGAGAATATTTTGAGTAAAGATTAGCAGTCGTGCTTCACCATGAGTACGAGGAAGGCAATCAAAGGTAAGGCTACAGATGTTAATGTTAAATGTGAGTGTCAAAATAGGTACATCTGCCAAATACAAATGTAATTACACAAACTGTGCGTCTGGTGATCAACAAGAATAAAACGTGTTCTGTTTAGAAGTTTTTAAAATACATATCTGAGGCGTACCTATTTTAGAACCGTACATGTTTTGGCAAAAGGTTCATCGTGTATTTGTACCTACTCAAATATCCACCTCAAACATTTCGGTGTAAACAAATACTAAAATAATTATCCATCAATGAATAATAGGTCATTTCTTTTACCCTTTGAATTAACAGCGCTCTTTTTTAAAATATTTTGAATCATACATTAACAAGAATTACGGAGATTCTGTGGCACTATCATCAACAAAATATGTCCTTTTTTTTTTAATCCTCGTTGAAATAAACTTTTACGTCGCCCTTGCAGGTTTAGAAGAGAGGCTGAAAGACGGAGAGAGTATTATCGTGGCAGAGGGGTATTTGTTTGAGTTCGAGCGAAGGGGTTATTTGCAAGCCGGAGCGTTTGTTCCAGAAATTGTTCTTGAACATCCACAGATCGTGAGACAACTCTATGAAGAGTTTGTCCACGCCGGAAGTGACGTGGTGCTAGCCTTCACGGCAAGTAAATTATATGATTCCTTTAAAGAGTATAAAAAGTACATAGGTTATTAAATGAATTAGACGAATTTAATTAAATTGATTCTGTATATATAGCCGATTAGGACAACACTGTTGGTTTAAACGGCATTTTTTTACAGTACTATGCTCATCGCCAGAAACTAAAACTGATCGGCAGAGAGGACGACTTGGAGAAGCTGAACCGAAAAGCTCTGAAAATGGCGCGAGAGGTGGCAGACGAGACAGGAACGCTTATGGCGGCAAGCCTGTCCAAAACAATGGCATTTATAGCCAGGGACAGTGAAGCCATTGCAGAAACCAAAAAAATGTTCAGGGTATGATGCTACCTGATGGAGCACCCATGGGATATATTCTGGTCAATTCATTTAGATCGTTTCCAAGTATTTTGACATGTCATCAGATGTTCTTTTAAAAATCTCTTTTGAACAATATTTTTATGTCAATTTTTTGCTGACATTTGCATTTGCCAATGCCCATTGTAAAATCAGTGATGATATATCTATACAGATGAACAGTTCTTTTCCCAAACATTTTCTACACCTTGATAAAAAAAAAAAATTACATGTACTTTAAAAGGCATAGTCGTTCTTTATGGTCTTCGTGTTAGTCGTCTTTTTTTAAGAAAAAGAATTAAACCAATCTACATGTATTAACAGACACTTTCATTTAAAGATTGAAAAGCATTAAAGAACACGCCGTAACAAATTCCTTATTTTGACAGGAGCAGGTTCAGTGGGCGTATGAAGAAGGCGTAGACTTCATGGTCGGGGAGACCCTGTCCGACCTAGAGGAGGCCATGTATGCTTTGGAAGCCATCAAGGAGTTTGGTAAGCTAATTTTTCTTAAGTCGTCCTACGTTCAGATATCACTGGAAACTCCTATTTTCAAATTTTCTTTACCGTCCAATTGAAATTTATGGTACCTTCTTTCTTTCTATCCTGAGTAGAAATAACTAAGATCTTAGTAATTACTGTTGGGTTAATTGCGATTCAACACTATTCATTGATAAAATTATGAACTTACAAAAGACGTGTAATGTATGAAGCACTCTGATTTTCATAGACATCTGGCATTCGAAATGTCTACTAAAACAGTACATTAAAATTATTTTATCAGCTGGGAACATCAGAGGCAAGCTGATATTAGAAAGATGAGTTTCCAATGACCGCTGAAACTCTGGGGCATAAAATAGGGGGCTTTCGTACCTCTCATGTTATATGTGTACAATAAACCTAGGTCTCCCCGCGGTAATAACGCTGTCTTCTCTCGGTGACACCACACGGGACGGTCACCCGTACTCGGAAGCATTAAAGAAACTGGAGGACGCAGGGGCGGCCGCTGTTGGTCTGAACTGTATACGTGGACCTGCCACTATGCTGCCGTTAATGAAGGAAATTAGGGACGTCTGTAAGGTGGGTGTGGATACAGAAGTGACGGCAGCATGTGACTAGTTAAAGTAGTTATAGAGCAACACAATTACTGACTTATTGCTCTCGTATTTTCATCGGATAAGATATGATTATGACAGTCATTACATACATGACTGTTGATTTTTTTTTTATGAACAAAGCGAATGAGTGATTAAATAAATCAAATCAAGTTATTTATAATATTGCATATTTTCAACTTTCATGTAAATGTTGATTTAAACATATAAATCTACAGACTACAATGACTACTTGTTTTTTGTAAAAAGTATATAAATTATTAAATGAATTAGACGAATTGAATTAAACTGATTCCATATATATAGTAGATTTTGAATACATTGTTAATTTAAAGGGCATCTTTTTACAGTACTATGCTCATCGCCAGAAACTAAAACTGATCGGCAGAGAGGACGACTTGGAGAAGCTGAACCGAAAAGCTCTAAAAATGGCGCGAGAGGTGGCAGACGAGACATTATTATTATTATTATTATTATTATTATTATTATTATTATTATTCATGCACTAGGGCCCGCTGTGTGCATTGCCCGTAGTCTACCGGACATCGCCGGACTTGCCGTCCATGCAGTCGTTAACAGGGGTCGGACCAGGTGAGAGAGTGAGAAAGAGAAAGGAAATCTGGGTCGGCTCACAAATTGCTTTTTGGCGTAAAATTGGTCTAAGCTTTAAAATTGAAATTTTGATTTTACTTCAGGTTAAGACTTATGTTAAGTTGAATTTGTAACAGTCCACTCAAAAGAAATAGGCTTAATTTTTTTGTAAAACATATCCCATTTCGGTTTATAAAACATGAAATATTTTTTATAGTATTTGATCTGTCTTGTGAAAATGAACCAGAGCCGGTTTATCGCCGTTGTTTTCATTTAGAGTCTCATATTTACGTCTTCAGTTTTGGTTGACTCATTCAATTTTTTAATTAATTAAATAAACTAAAATGAGATCAAAACAATAGTAATCAATCAATGAGGAAAAGAGTGAGGACTTGCGTTTAGGCCTACTAATCACAATACTCGTCAAATAAAAAAAAACTTTTAAAAAATCATTAAAAATACTTAAAATTTTTAGGTGGTAGCAACATCAGATACTTCGACCTTCCCGCGTGGCAGTGCAGTCGCACAGAGATCCAAGAGTTCGCCAGAGAGGCCCGGGCCATTGGGATTCAGTACGTGGGGCTCTGCTGCGGTAACGCCTCACACTACATCCGCGAGGTGGCAGAAACCTTGGGACGCTCTCCTCCCGCCAGCCGCTACTCGCCGGACATGGGGGCGCGTCACGACCCCACCCTCCTTGCTAAACAGGCCGAGACATCGCTTCGGAAGACGTGAAAACGGTGTTGGTGAAATGCGTGTGGTGAAATTTACACCTGCTCTAACTTAATCTTCAAGAAAATCTGACTGACGTCAACAGGCAAGCTGATCTTGAAGGGGTCATACTTGTGATGAAAATCTTTGTGTAGTGTTCATGTACACATTTTCCTGTTAACGTTCTTCCTTTGCTACATGCATTAGAAAACACATTTACATATAATATATATATATATATATATATATATATATATATAATATATAATATATACAATAATAAACAATTTGGGTGAATGAATGAAAAAGCAATAACTCATTGTAATTGTGCTTCAATTTTTATTTTATTTTTGTTGTTTCAATGCCAGGCAGAGTAAGTCAACAAGTCTGCCTTCTCCAAAAAACAAAATAATAATAATAAACTTGTCACATGGCACCATATTATTTCAAGTAAAATATAGAAAATTATCTCCAGGTTCAATCTCATCATGTTTTACCATTATACAGTTCGAGTATATTGCTACTTTATACCTACTGATAACAAGTGTTATGTGCAGAAACTTAACATTTATACACGAGTTTTTTTCCATGCTATACAAAAAACAGACAAAAAAAAAACTGATGATTAAAACAGTAACTAGTAGTAAAAGACTAGTATATCAGTGGGCATACATGTCCATTCTACATGCATATACCAATCTCTTTATCCATCTACATGTTCATATATACTACCAATCTCTTAATTACATTTTACAAACTACTAGTATTGGCCAAACATCTCTCTGGCACAGGACACACATTTGTTATATCGGGTAATTATAACACTACCCACATCTGGGATACTGAAGCTCTAACTGTATATATATACCCACGTAAATTTTCATAAAATGGCATTGCTTCCTGTTTATTTTATTTAAAAGTAATGTATTGCAAGGATGTGCTATATTGACTGAACACGTTGGGTGATCTAAAGGCTATTTCAAAAACATGCAGACATGTATATAAAAAAATGCTTGTTATGATATGCCTTGCCCACATACAGTAATAATTTTAATCAATAAAATCCAATGATATGAATAAGCTCCCTTTGCTTCCCTCCCCCACCGAAAAGAAAAAAAAATCATCAGTAATACTTGAAAATGTTGATTCAATTTTTTGAGCAGTTATTTGGCTGTGTCAGGAAGTACATATTTGTAAGTGCCTACTATGAGAAAATAAAACATCAGAAAAAGTGAGACATTTAGAAATGATGAGAAATCACTTTGTATGTGGAAGACATGTCTTAAAGAGCCCATTTTCAAAGTAGAATCCCACAATAACCAAAAATAAACCAACAAGTTCACTATATTTCCATAACTCATGAAGACCTATTTTTATAATATCTCAAAGAAGTCCATTTTCACAGTGGATTTCGACCATACCCAAAATAGAAAAAAAATCAAAAAATAAAACCTACAGGAATAATTTCACAGAAGATCAAGTCAGACTTCTACAATGACTAAAAGAAGCCAACAATTTCCTAATGCATCAGGACTGCCCTTCCGACTGTGCATGCTGCAGCAGCAAGTCATTCACATTCAGATGGGCCAAGCCCTGCGTGACTTTACTCGTTCTTCTCTCCCTCGACACAGGTGCCCCAGGCTCCAGCAGGGACTCCGAGTGGCCTGGCATAACTAAAACGGAGTTCGCTCTCCTCTTCGTCGCTGCAACGATGTCAGGAGGCTGCAAACTATGTCTGCGCTGTTCGTGTGAACTATGGCGGTTATGTGGATGACTTGCACCACCACCACTAGGGGGCAGTGCTAAATGGGACTGGTCCATATGATGGTGGTGGTGGTGATGGTGGTGATGTTGGTGGTGGTGAACTTCTGTCGAAGGTTCAGGAGGAACAAAATTATCAACATTGTCATTTAGCAAAATTGAACTTGTTGGCAGCACCGCATCTGGCTGCTCGGTTTCTGAGCTTCCGTCTCCCATTGAGGCTCTGGTCTCCGATGGGATCATCTTGGAATGCACGTCCTCTACAGCCCCCTGATGGAGAGTATGGTCCAAGTCTGCATCTATTTCTTCCTGGTCGGTGGAAAATGTCACATTTTTGTCTGAATCCTTGGAAAAACTTCGAGGTTTCAACTCCAGTGAGTCTTCTAAGCCATTGTCTCTGGAATCCACAGATTCTATATCGTCATCATCACTCAACCCACCAGCGTAGCTGCCTTTTTCTAATTTGTCTGAAAATATTTATAGAATAATTAGTGGTTATCTGTGTTACTGAATTCTGAAAAGTTGCAACAAACAAGCAAACACATATATTTATATGTTTTTAACCTGTTTTAATCCTAATTATTTTAGAATTATATTCATTTTTCAATAACCAGCAAAAAATAATCATATAAAATATTCTTAAAAGGAGATAAATCTCACTCTACATTGTACATAATACAGCTTTGCAAGGTATTTTAAGCCTAATTCTTTCTAATTTTAATTTCTTTTCCAAACACGTTAACTTAAATAATACAGTACACCAACACACCATCCACTTCTACCGTATATATGTCATTACCTAAGTTAACCTCCGGCAAGCTGGACTCACTGCTAACACTTTCAGCCCCCACTCCTGGCTCACGGGGAGGAAGCTTGAACTGCCCAACGCGTGACTTCCGCCGCAGGTGCACTTCCTCCGATATTCTCTCCAAATTCTTGAGAGCTGCGGAATATTTGTGTTTAGCAGCACTAATGGCTCTCTGGAGGTCCTCGACATCAATTTTCTGTTGCTGTAATTAAATTATTTCTTGGTGATAATTTTATTCAGCTGCTAATTTTGATGGTCACTTTTGTCCTGGTGGGTGTAAATCTGTGGTCGAATGAGACAATTTCAGAATTATTCTAAATTAGACAAGAAAAGTGTGTGTGTGTGTGTGTGTGTGTGTGTAAATGTGTGTTATGGTGTGAATCTCTTGTCCATGTAAATCACTGGCATGGAATTATGCCTTAATAAATGAATCTTAAATATCATTACTTAAGTACTCATACAAATACTAATTTCAAAAGTAAATCATCATTAACATACACATGCATACATGCACAAATGTTCAAAGGCACATACACAAAACTATTTCAGTTGAACATAGCATATTACTCACTGATATATGACAAAGTGTATATATATTTATTTTTTATCAATTATAATTATTAAATTATCTAAGGACACCTACCTCAAGCTGTTTTTCTAAATCCAATTTTACAGCATAATATGGTCTAAAAATAAAATAAATAAATAAATACAATGTATTTACTTTTTATTAAGATTAGACAAATTTTAAAACACAAGAAACCTAATATAGATTTCAAAAACTAACAAACATACTCTATAGGGGAAAAGGGATTTAAATCCCAAAATAAATTCTATTCCATTTTTTATTCCATTTTCCATTTATGACTTAGTCCTAAATGACTGTTCCTTTAGAAAACCACATCTTTCTGTACATTTGAGAAGAAACTACATCCATCTATGTCTGGTGCTTTTATTAGAGAGACTAAGTTTTTTAGGTCAGAATTGGGAAGGATAATAGCTTTGCTGGATATGTAGACAAAAAATCTGACTTGGGGAAATTTACAGCTTACTTTTATATAATACATAAATAAGAGAAATTACATATTTTACAATTATCAAAATTATAAAGAATATATATTTACTCACTTGGAATTACTAATGGCTCGTTTAAACTTCTTCTCCAGTAGCAACACCTTGTGTTGAGCCGCCTCGTAGAAGGAAGCCTTTTTGTGGTGCTCCATCTCACTCTTCCCTTTCTCCTGCTCTGACTCCATTACCTACAGATATCATAACCAGAAATAAAAATTATAACGCTCAACAAAAAACCCAGGAGCACAGGGCTCTGCCAAATCAAAATTATCTCAGAAATACCCAGAAAATCTTAATGATTACCAAGACAAACAAGACAAACAATCCATAGACCAAGGAAATAAGGCAATAAAAATTGTTGTGAAATATCCTGAAATTCATATCCAGAAAAAATATGACAATAGTTGAATACTAAGATTGCATTCCGATTTTATCAGGGTACCAGTAATTAGCCTTGTATTAGCATCAAACATTACACCCTGTGAATTAACTCTGTGCTTACCCGCATGGTAGCATGGTTCAGCATTTCCTGCCAGGCAGAGTCAAACTCTCTTTTCTCAGAGGGATCAGCATCAAGGAGTCTCTGCTCGGCCAGCTGTATAGTTTCCTTGGCTGCTTTATACAGGCTGTTAGCCCGCTGGAACTCACGTGCTGCCCGATGGGTCTCTTCTTGGGCCTGAAATCGCCAGGAGTTTTAAATATGTATTTCCTTCTTTTTTTATTCATCTTAAAATGCACCAGTGAACATTGCTGATATTGATCTCAATTTCTTGGTGATCATCTGCTTGTCTGTGCACAATTTCAGTTATTCACTTTAGTTTATGGATTAAGTCACTTCTCACAGATAGCTGTTTTCTAAGTAAATAAATAAACAAATAGATAGACAGATATATAAATTAAATAACACAATCTGACAATTTAGATAACCTTAGCAGATTAACATAATTTTTCATTTGAATCAAGGGGCTGAAGCACTGGGACAGAGAGAGATAGAGAAAAGTGAAAAAAGTGGGTTACCTGCTCTGCCTCTCTTCTTGCATCATAATAAGGCCGAGCTTTATCTACATTTCTCTTATACTTCCTGTACAGCTGTGTTAAACGGTGGCCAGACTCATTTAATGTGCTTCGGAAGCGCGCTCGAGCTTCCTGTAACAAGACATAAATGCTATATATCAAAGTTTTAAGCCACGTAAAGGACCCAGAGTCTTAAATGTCACTGGAATTGCTGTCTTATAAACTGATAAGAGAAGAGAATTTCTGTGACTTATGAAGTCCAGGGTGAAAACCTGAGAGAAAAAATGTAATCAATATAATTCATTAGTACAGAATATGTAATATACTGAACAATCAGTCTGAAACAACAATTTTGCCCCTGAGGCAAATGGCAAAGAAATTGTAGCCTAGCCAGTAAAACTGTGTGAAGTTGTTCAGTAACTGGCATGGTTCAGTGGATACTTTTCCACTGGTGGCTCTTAGGCCCTGCAGGCGTTATTTTTTGGCACAGACAAATAAAAGCAACCATGCCAATAATTCTGATGCACATTCCATACCTGTGACTGAATCTATTTAATAAATGTATTTATCTTATCTTGTATTTTCACACCTCATCACCCCTGCCTGCGTTAAACCTCCCTGATAATGAAACGACTGACTGTCACATGTGGCAGCACTATGACAGAAATGCACGAATGATGCTGCATGTGATAGTCAGATGAGAGATTCAACGCATATTATAGTATACGCCTATATCTACAACTTTATCTCCAATATAATTTAGTTTGGTTTAGAATAATAATTGGAACTGCTGCCAAGTCAAATGAGCTCTACCCAGAGCTTCACATCTGATGTGTATCACCTTTTTAACTGTTAAATCTCCATATCGATAACACTCTTCTCAGTGGGAATATGCTGACAAAATTGTTTTGAAAAAGAGAAGCTGCCCCTCCATGTCAACTCTGCAGATCATATAAGTTGTTCAGCTTTCAAAACACACAAAAACTGTAAAATTTATGTGTGAAATCATGACTGATATAAGATGTTCAAAATGTTAAAATTCTGTTCAAGATATTTAAAAATCAACCAGTGACACCCTCCTGCCCATATATAAATACATGTATGTACATGTAGCCGAAATATAAGGGAAATGAACAATGATAAATAATGCAGAGGTGAATAAGCTAATGCACCGAACATTGTGAATCTAACGGTACTTTAACTAACTAGAAAAGTTAAGCCAAAATTCAATTTCCTGGCCAACGACCAATATTACAAACTGGCTATATCTACAAGCATTCCGGTTATTTCTGGTCACAGAATTCAGTGCCCATTATCGAGGTAAGCTTGGCTGGGGCTAACACAGCATATTTTAGCAAAACTTTGAACATGTTCTTATACAGGTATGAGAAAGGAAAATACATTAAATTTTTGTCATCACAAAATACTTCACCAATAATACAATTATTTATCATGAAGTGGTTGTTGAACATGATGTATTGCTTATTGTGACCTAATGTCTAAACAGACAGACGGACAGACAAAAGGAGCTATTTATAAAAATTACATTTACACACACACACACACGTGTGTTCCTGCACACGTGCAAACATGGGTCTATACAAATATACACACTTACAGATACTAGCACACTGAGACAGACACACACACACATACACTAAGATATAAACAGGTGCAGACAAAGACCCTCACAGTTTTAATCATCCTTGACCAGAATTCCATTCCAGTTCAATATATAGTTATCAAACCATAAGGAGAAGTTTTATCATGTCTATGGGCCAGGTAAAGGGGTACAGAGTACAAATTCCATGTTCACGTGAATTCCACTATAAGTCGGCCTCAGTCTACCTATGAGCACATTTAGAACAGCCAACTTACAGATCAGTGGATCAAATATGGCCTAGCCACTTGAATGCTTGTTGCATAACCCCCGCAGTGTCTACACAACAAGTTTTTTTAGTGGGTTGCCATATCTGTGAATCTGTTAGTCCACTGTTCTGGATGCACTGATTTATTGACTTGAATGCTGTATCACATTGTGTTATGATTACATTTAATGGTCATATACTAGTACAGTACTGTTACAGAAACAAGACTGATGAACATATATGAGTATACCAGACACCATGGATATGGTTTAAATTAAATTATTCAATTTATAAATTAATTCCTTTAGGTATATATTTGCTCTATCTTTAAAATGGGTCATCTTATTAAAGAAACAACATTTTTAAAAAATAAAAAAAAGTGGACAGTAAAAATATTGAAACAAAATAATATGTATTTGTATTATTTTTTTCTTCATCTCAAGCAATTCATGTGAAAGGACTTGTCATTACAGCCAACTATTTGTAAAAAATTTAATTAAAAATTAAAAATGCACTGTCACTTACATCAAGCTCTGTTTCCAGTTTGTTTATTTCATCTGTGGCCGTATTTAACTTCTCCAACTCCTCCTAAAATAAACAAAATCAAGGGTAGAAATAAATAAAATGTTTTGGAACACTGATTTGCATTGAAAAGAGTTGAGGTTTAGAGAGAGAGAGAGAAAGAGAGAGATGAAACCAAAAGTATCAAAAGATACTAGTATTTGTAAAGAGAGGGAAGAGGAGGGGGGAGGGAAAATTGCCAATTTATATCTAGCAACACCTTTCAAGTACATCTTTAAGTGTTTGGCACTGCCATACTTTAACAAACAACTTAACTCCCACTTAACACACGCACACACATAAACAAATTCCCCTGGTGCTCATCCTTGCAGAGAAAATTATACACGTGCCAGCCAGCGTAATAAGGAAACTAGGATCCAGGTACTTAAGTCACACAGATAACAGGACAGACTATTAAGGTCTATTCCCACAACTTTAGATCGATCTATCACCGCGGGGAGTCTCACCAGACTACCGTCAGATAATCCCCCTTAAGTGTCCGTCCCCGCCAACCACAAGCCGTAAGGGGCAATTAACTTTCGTGTCCGCCTGGCTGACAGCTATTCAGCGCGAACCCCCAGGAAGTTAGGTCGATCCAAAGTAGGTCGATCTAATCTATGGAAATGGGGTGTTAGAGGGAAGATATGGTGACTGGCACACACTGTAATATCCAGGGTACTACACTGTGTGGGTTTGTGCAAGACACTGTATGCCATGGCTGGGGTAGCGCTAGCAATTTTTTACGCTTAGCCAAATCACCACATTTTTGTCAATTTGTTATCCAAATGACTTTAATTTGACTAAAATTAGTCAAATCAAGCCCTTTTTGTTTAGCCAATTTAAGTCAGTTTTAGCATTTGGCTAAATTGGCAAGTGTTAGTGCTACCCCAGCATGAGGCACAAGTCCAAAAAACTTGCAATACAGATTAGACTGTCTCTAAAAAAAAAATGATCACTCTGGAGGTTATTAATACAGAAATAACCTTGATAAGAAACATAAGAAAGAATATCTTATTTATAAGAAATATAAAATATTAATTAATTTAATAAAAAAAATAACAAAAAAAATACACAAAATAGAAAAATCTACAATGAAATATGAAATACGTAAAAAGATAAGGCTAAAATGTACCTGAAAACACTCACAAACTCTCACTGATAATATAACAATAAAGTTTATCATATGTGTAAGTGGGATCAAGTTGGCATATATTCCTAAAAGCAGTGCCAAACAGTTTAAGTTCATATGTACTTCTCCACAAAATATAAACTAAGGCCAAGTAGCCAGCTGATAATTTAGAATGAGGGGTTTGGTGTCTTTTTCAGAGAAAAAAATGGGTCTTTTACCTCTTTAGTATTTGAGCAACTTGAGAAATGGCAGGGAACCAAGATTAAATTTTGATAGAGAACAGACCTTTTTTGGTCAAAACGGTAGTTCTTTACAAACCTTCTCCCCATGCCAACCCCTCTGCTCACCCCCCTTCCAAAAGACCTGAAGCTTATCATCAATTCTGCATGTGAGAGTATCTCATGTTGCTGATGACTCTATATTCCACGTGGGCCACATTGCACGAATGAGGCCACACCACACGAATGATAACAATATAGTGTTAGCACTGGCCTCACGCCAAATGCCAGTGAAACTGAAGCCAATGAACCAGGAAAATTGTGTAAAAGTGTTCAATTGTTACCCACTGTATGAGCACTGGGACAGTTAATTTTTAGATCTTGATGCCTTTAGTATCAATAGGCTTAAACAGTTGTTGGCCAGCTTACTGTACTGTAAGTGTCAATGCAAATCAACTGAGATCACTGTCAAATATGCCAGTTTGTCTGGGAGAGGGGTGCAATTTAAATGTGAGGCTGGAGCACTCAACTGAGCAAATGATTGTAGGAAAATGTATTAACAAAACATATACTGACAAACGTATATTGACAAATTGTATGAAAACTTGATCATAAATCACAACAGATGAATTATTGTTGTTATATAGTACATATTACGCTGTCAAAACACACAAAAAATTTATATCATATGGTCCCAGTACTACTAGAAATTAATTATCATTAACTGAACTAGTGACATGCCAGTGCTCACATACAAAGAGGTTGTATTTCGCAACACATTTGATATATACCAGCAAATGAAGATGGAACTACAATGCCCGAAATTCCATTTCAAGAAAGTTCACTGCATGAATACAAATGCAGATACCAGGTTTCAAATAACCCCCTCACAACTCTTATTTCTTGAGTCCGCGATCCGATTCAGGTCACAGACCACGATAATAAACACGCTGAGGCTGTCAATTTCACCCCACGACAGTTGTAGCGTGCTACACAAAACACATTACAAACACAAATTTTAAAAGCGACAAAATACCTGTATCCTGGGATCTATCGGCTCTTCTTGCTCGTCACTTTCCGTGCTGCCTTCGAACTCTTCCATTGTGCACGGCGTCCGTGGCGAAATGAGAGCAAGTGAGAGTGATAAAACGCTGGAATGACTGTGCCTGTCACTCAGTCACTCCCCGTTTATGAATCAGCCATATTTGTTTTGCCTTTGAACTCCGACCTTGAGTGTGACCTTCCAGTAAGGAAACTAGGTCACAACGTCTCGCTGTGGAAGACTGGTACAGATGCTTGCAGGGATTTTGCTAGTAAGTTTTGAACACAATCGGGTGCTTTTCTTTTCATGCCATATTGTTGAAATGAAGCTTATTTTGCAGGGAATAGTTTGCACTTTTTAATGCGACTAAGAAGACTTCGAAACGTTATTTTTAAGTCTTTGATTAAGTGCACATGAATGTTGGACACCTGTCTTCACCCCCTGGGGTCTCTACGTTTTCTATTTCGACCAATGAGATAAGCGTGAGAGGTGAACGCCCTCAAGACGTGGGCCATGCACATATGTGCTTTTATCTCCAGTATCTCTTGGCTTTGCATGACGATCATTGCTATGAAATAACAATGACCCGGTTTATGTGGGATGCCATATGTCATATTGCGTGATTAAAAAAAAAAAAAAAACTGGCAACGGTGTCTATCAACGCTACCTGTAATTGCGTCAGGTGTGATTCAGAACGTGTTTTTACCAGTACATGCATGTACCTGTACCTGCAGTAAATATTTAGAAAATTATTAAGAGTAGAGACATTAAGTTTTTTAGTGCAATTGAAACATATACTGAAGGTTAATTCGGTATAAGTACATGCATATCTCAAATGCTTGATAGATTCAACTTGTACATGCATGGTATCAGGTACACTGAAGAAATATTTGACCCATGTGAGTGACCACTGTCCAGCAGGCTCAATTGACTCAAATGAACAGACCACAATGAAGATAGATATCCACAACCACATTCTTCCAGAAACCTGGCCAGATCTAAAGGAGGTATTGTATCAATTATTTTGTATGCCAATTTTTTTTTTCTATATCTTTTTTTTTTTTTTTTGTCATGTCATAAAAGTCAAAATGATAACTGTATTCCTCCTCACAAATCTTTTTGATAACTATGTAAAATGCTGTGAAATGTTGGTTATTAATAGGGAAGGCTTGATAAGGCATTATGTACATGATCTGCATGGTAGGTAGCTATATAAAAATGTAAGATGAAAATATTTTAGTTATAAAAAATGAAAATATTTAGTAGTAACCATAGAAATACACAGTGTATATTACAAATTTTTAAAAATGTTAAAACTCTGGTTCATAGGATCTCCATGCTTAAGTATATTAATTGCCTCTTTTACAGTTTTAGTAAATACAAGTGTAACAAATTTGCAATTCTTACTCCCTTGCGCTTTTTTGTTTTTATTATTATAATTATTATTATTTTAAAGGTGAAAAACACATTTCTTGCCGTTTTTAAACTTTCTGTTTTTTATAGTTATTGTAAATATAATCAGTTTTACTGATTATACTTACAATAATTCAGTATGGTTATTTAACTTACTAGTATTAAAAAAAATTCAGAGATATGGCTATGGAGGATGGGTATCTTTGGAGGGCCATTGTGCTGGAAAGGCCAATATGATGAAAGATGGGAAATTATTTCGTGTGGTCGACCAAAACTGCTGGGACCCTGTGACAAGAATAAAAGATATGGACAGTACAGGTGAATGTGGTTAATTGGGGTGTTTGGGTGGGGTGGGGGTTTATATGGTTCAATGAGATGTTTAAGTTTAAATACACATATGAATTTGTGGTCAAATGACTAATTATATTGTATAACATCATCTTACATCTTACTTTAAAGTGTTAGATAAATAGCTTATTATGTTTTACAAGATTTTTTTAGTATCTGCTAGCTGGTTGCAGCCATTTTACATCTTGCATTATTTGTGAGTTATTCTGATATAAGTTATTCTGGTATAATATTTAAACTGTACTTATATTGACTATGATTTCTAGGGGTAGCAGTGCAAGCTTTGTCCACTGTGCCTGTTATGTTCAGTTACTGGGTGAGTGTTGGAAAAAATTACTGTACTAAAACAGTATTTTTTTTTTGAATTATGATTGATATTTTTCTTAAATTTTAAGATATTAAATGACAATAGATGTGAAGATGACCTTTTTAATCTCTCTCCCTTTTGGTTGATTTTGTTTAAAAAAATAGCTGTGCAAATTAATGAAATGTAGGTACATGCATCTGTTGCAGCAGTGGGCAGTAAAATGGCAAATTATATTTCATACCCTCCCATCCATTTTTGATATCCTGGATCAATTCACAAAGTTAATGAATAAATGAATTTTTTTTTATTGATTATTCATTTTAGATCTTCACCACCTATAACTTATTTAAAATTTGATTTTTTTTCATTTACCCCACAGGCCAAACCAGAGGACACACTAGATCTCAGTAAAATATTGAATGACAACCTGGCCACCACCATTAATAAACACCCAGATAGATTTGTTGGTTTGGGTACGCTCCCCATGCAGGCGCCAGAGTTAGCAGTACAAGAACTGAAACGGTGCAAGCATGAACTAGGTATGGCCAAGAATTTCATCAGCATTGGCAGATCTGCAGGTTATGTTTGGCTTTAGAAGACCCCCCCTTATGTCTCTAGCTTCCTTTTCCCTTCCACAAGTATATAACATTATATAACAATGTGTCCAGAACAGAAAAAAACCTGTAGGCTATATATGTCCTCCCTGTGGCACGTTCTATTTATAATTGTAGTAAAATTCCACACAGATTATTGTTTAAAACCCTTAAGTTCACTTTTAAATTTGTGAAGCCCAATAAATGCACATGTGCTTCAGGCCCTATTACCTTATATACATCACTTTAAACAACTATTAATTAATTGATGATTCACATGTTTAAATTGAATGTTTTTTGAAGTATATACATGTACTGTAATATAATGAGCTGTAATAAATTTTCACTTATGGACACAGAATTGAAAGATATTATTATTATTATTATTATTATTATTATTATTTCTTCCAGGTTTTCCAGGAATACAGATAGGGTCTCATGTCAATGACTGGAACTTGGATGCTCCAGAGTTACTGCCAGTATTCAGAGTGAGTGGTGACAGTGGTGTCAGTGCTGTCAGTGGTGCACCTGTACACAGGTATGGTGTCAGTGGTGCACCTGTCCACAGGCGTGTTGTCAGTGGTGCACCTGCACACAGAAATGGTGCCAGTGGTGCACCTGCAAACAGAAATGGTGCCAGTGGTGCATCTGTTCACAGGTATATTGGGTTCATGTATTTAGTATTGCAGGAGAGACACTGATTCTGGCCAGGGGTACCACTTGAGCGGCACACCACTTACAGTTTAAATATTATACAATTATTGACTTTGGGTGAGGTCAAATATTATTGACCTAAAGCTGGGAGAATTGACTGATGCTGAAGGTGTCAGAATTTCTGTAATGCTTGCATGGGTATGCTATTTTTATAGGCTTTTTGTACAAACCTTTGCAAAGTTAATAGCTAAAGCGTCAGGTTAAATGCAATTTTTTTGGTTAACTGAATAGGAATAAACTTATGTACTTGTAATGGCAATTGAGAATAATTGCAATTACTATATCACTAATATATATATATTACCAGTACATACATGTATATTTTTATGCATGAATAATTTGAATTTTTTATTATTTTTTTCTTAGGCTGCAGAAGAGAACGATGTGTCTATATTTGTTCACCCTTGGGACATGCACCTTGACGGAAGGATGTCTAAGTACTGGCTGCCGTGGCTAGTAGGTATGTTGTTATTGCATACAGACTTGCACTTTGACACATGTATGATGTACATGGATGTACGCACATGTGGATACAGGCAACTCACATAATGCTCACACTGACAAACACACACACACACACACAGGCAGACAGCAATTCTCACACGCGCACACTGCCATTTGCACACACATACACACATACACATGCATTTATAAATACATGTGTGCAAACACATGCACAAAGACACATGAACTTGTACATGTGCATTGCATTCACACTATATACTGATGTAGCACACATGGATGACTTTCCACTTTTACAGTACTTTGGTAACTTGTATCAGGGGCGGATCCAGAGATATTTTCTGACAGTCTTCCAAATTATCTTTGTTGATCCATCTTCCATTTTTGACCGTCTTCCGACAGAAAACATTAGATGGCTGACAATGTAAACTTGAAAATCTGACCGTCTTCCAGAAGACCCAGAAGACGGCCTAAATCCGCCCCTGCGTATTATCTTTCTTCTCATAACATGTCACAGGTATGCCAGCAGAGACCACCACCGCCATATGTGCTATGATATTTGGAGGGGTGTTGGAGAGATTTCAAAAACTTAAAGTCTGTTTTGCACATGGAGGTGAATAATGTTTATAATTATATTAATTTATTTTAGAACCCAGTTTCTAATGGTTTATACTTGAAATCCATTGTACTTGGATGCATAATTATGCAAGTTTTGACTGCGGCTAAACATTTTTTCTTGAGAAAATGGAATGAATACTATTAATATAAGTCACTGTTTGTTTTTGATATATCGGTACATGTTCTATAGAGATTTATTAGAAAATTAATGCTTTTCAAAATGCATGCTGTCATGTTTGATTACTTCCCTGTCATATCAATATACTCACCTAATGTCTGATGTGTACACAAGTTTAAAAGGGATATCATAATTTAAAATTGCAGGAGGTGCATTTCCATACACAATTGGCCGTATAGAGCATGGCTTCAATGTACGACCAGATCTGTGTGCTACTGAGAACAGCGTCAACCCCAGAAAATATCTGGGGCAGATCTACACAGACTCCCTGTGCCATGATCCCTTGGCCTTGAAACTATTGGTGGATGTCATGGGCAAAGTAAGTAGGTCACAGGGCATGACCTCTTGACCTTGAAACTATTAGTGGATGTCATGGGCAAAGTAAGTAGGTCACAAGTCATGACCTCTTGGCCTTGATACTACATGTATTGGTGGTTGTCATGGGCAAAGTAAGTAGGTCACAGGTCATGACCCCTTGGTATTGAATATATATGGAATTCTCTGTCATCAAAACCCATGATGCAATTGTTTATTGAATGGGGCTTGTACTAGTACTAACTTATTTATGGTCATAGTAAATTAAAAATTTTCGACTGTCAAATACAGACTTGACATTTAATATGGAATATTTCAGTTTCAACGGTATGCTTAGGTAAAAATGCGTTCTTTTTTCATAAAACTCAGATCTCATATAAGATATCTGACTGGAGAAGTGTGAAGTCAGGTGTGTCGCTACCAATTAACTGACTACCAAGTCTGTTGCACTGCTGCCTTGTGTAATATGCAGTGATTTAAGTGGGTAGTGCTCCTTTGGCCTGTTTTAAGCTGGGCTTTGGCGAAGCATGGTTCCGTCAAAAAAGTATCCATATGTCGGCAACTACTGCATAGAAGAATTTGAAATTTTGCATGTAAGCAGTCGGTTTTGCAGTGCGTAAAATGAGTTCAACAATGTTTTAAAAATTGTTAATCTGTGTCAGAATGGCGCGAAAAAGATAGACATTGCCAGACAGATTATTGTGTCAAACGGTATGGTCTGCACAGTTCCATGGAGTTATGCCCAGACTGATGTACCTGCACAGAAACCACGCCCAATGTATTGACATCTTACCACCAGGGCACAGGACTCATTGTCCTTCAGGATATGCTGCTGCAACTAAACAAAAGCCACCCAGTCCGTTCAGAATGAGGGGCAAATTGTGACCAAAACGCGTTTTTCAAGGCTCTTAGTGAATACCAAACTGGTTTTAGCAGGTTAGAATACCAAACAACCTCTGAGGAAGGCACTGTAAACAGCAAAACAGCGTCGTCAGTTTCTCTAATGAATTGAGGACTATGACCGTTTCTGGGTAGAACATTGAAACCGCGTGGCTTTCTTTATTGAGGTCAGATTTCACCTGTACTGCTTAACTGGTCACAGCAGAGTTTATAGACATCTTGAAGCGGCCTACGACAAGGCGTGTGCCGCTTCTAAAGTGACTAGAGTCATTGGCAGCGTCAGTATTTGGAGTGGATACCACATTGGTGCCAAAACACCAATGGTAGTCATTGATGAAAACCTAAACCAGATGAAATAAAGGAATGATCTGGGAACCATTTGACTATCATTTGATAGAGGGCACCTTAGGAACAATTTTAGGTTGCACGATGAGATTGTCCGTTCACACAGAGCACTTTTAATAGCAGATAACTTACAGAGCCAAGGGATTGAGCAGATGCATTGGTAATCAAAATCGCCATATTTGAACCACATAGACAATACATGGGTAGGTTATTACTCAAAGAATCAACGGCCTTCATGTCCTACAACAAATCTGAACCGAATTGGACAAGTTTTGACCGTTGCCGGGAATTTTTTTCCAGATTAAACTCTAAAAACCTATTCTAAGGAACGCCTTGCCGCTTGAAAGCTCTGGTAGCAGCCAGATGAGGTCAGGAGTAACAGCGACCGTTGCTATGACATGACACTGACATGAGGGTCCTTTGTGGGGCATGTAACTCTTTTAAAGACGATAATTTGGAAAATATGGAGATCCAAAATATCGCTTTCAATGGTTGTCGTATGACTTAGAGTAGGCAATGCATTTTGGTTTGCTTCACTGGCGAATTCTATTAATGAACTGATGTCACAATGACATCAAAGAGATAAATAAAAGTTATTAAAACATGATTTTAATCCTTATTTTCATTTATCAGTCAGCAAAATAGGAAAAAACTGATGAAAAATAATTTGGAAAAAAATATTCCATATTAAATGTCAAGTCTGTAGTTTTGATGTCATTTGGGTCTGATGTTCCTTTGGTGAAACATCTTTTATCAATTGTATTCTTCATTTATCTCTAGGGAGAAATTATGGAGATACAATAATCAATAAAACTCCTTAATTCTTTGTTTAGGATCAAGTTATCCTGGGCAGTGACTACCCATTTCCACTTGGTGAGCATCATCCTGGCAAACTCATTGAATCCATGGAGGACTTTGAAGATGATCTCAAGGTGAGTGATTGGGACACAGAGGCAGTGACCAGTGGTCGAGGGAGTGACTAGTGCTTAAGTGCTTGGCAAAATGAAAAAAAGTTGGCCAGCATGCTGATCTGAAACACTCCTGCTCACATAATCATCATACGCCCAATGAGTTTTCTGGCCTGGGTTTCTGCAGGTGGCAGAGATCATCTCTATCTCATAACCTCTATTCTGTCCAGTATCCTCCATCTCTGCTGAGGATGGTGGTGTTTGTTTTTAAAGAGGGCTCCTATGATATCAATGAGCATGGTGTCCTCTTGTCTCAGTACAAGTCTTTACATGCAAGGTACGTGTTGGATATTCAGTTTGTACTGCACAAATATACAAAAGGCCTCGATCCACTCTGTGTTTCCAAATTTCAAGACTATAAATTTCCACATCCTGGCAAAACTGTGTGTCTTCCATTACACCATGTTATTTACAATTGCATTTTAAGACTTTGTAATGAACATTTGTATCAGTTTTTAAAAAGTCATTTCATTCAAGGTACAATACGTAGCAACTACTAACACTTATGCGTGCACACAAAAGAATATTTTAAAAAAGGCTTAATTTATTGAAATATTTTTAAAATAAAAAACTTTAAAAAAATTATATATATATATATATATATATATATAATTTTTTGAATATATATATAATTATTTGAAATTGTTATCTTATCACTCACTATGTGTGTGCTGAGGCAACTGCAATCACAAGAATCTGGCTCATTCTGAGCATTAATGATATTGTATAATTTTATATTGTTGATGAAACAAAAAAGCGTTATTTACTAGGCTTGATGTCTGGTTTTCAGGACAAGCTGCTGGCGGGGAATGCTTGTGAATTTCTGGGACTTGATCGAGCCAAATATGATCCTGCCCTAAGACTCTAAACTCTATTAACTGTATGTAAAAACCCAAGCCTGTAGACTTGAGGGAATTTTTTTAGTGTTTTACATATGGGACCAAACTGTAAGACTGCAGTGAGTGCAGCATATACCTGATGGGTATTTAAAGCAAAGTATCACCAAATTGAAGCTATAAGAATTTGCATGGAACAAACTATTTAAAGGGAAATGTCTTTGTATTGAACAGAACTGCATTTAAAGCCATATACTACAACTTGTATAAATCTACTTCCAGACTCATTGAATGAGAACAAAGAACTATAGTTAAAACCTACCAGGTATCACCTACGACTTATTTATATCAATTATACACTGTAAGACTTTTAGTACACAGTACAATAAATTGTATTCATAAGAAATTGATGTGAGTAATGTACAGGTACATGCAATGTCCTGGCCAATAATAAACCACCTAGCAGTCGGCACGAGCATTGATTTGGTATCAGAATGAATGCTCAATGATCGACCAGTTGTCGGCACGTAAAGTATTATAATTATTTAACTCTCAAATGGGGCCGAACTGCTGGACGTAGAAGGGACGCCGTCCAGTGTAAAGGGGGCTTAAGTAACAACATCTGCTCACATCAGTATGATGAAGGCCTATAGTACGTTCAGGTTGGCCGTAAAATGGAAGTATTTCGGTTTCGGTTCGTTTATGATAATTATCATATATCATGTTTTCTTAACGTTTGCATTTATTATTTTATATTAATTATTTTTATTTTAACACTCTTACATGTGATTAATGTTAATAAGATACGTAAGAGCCAGTACAATATAATTGTTAGCCAGAAAACACTGCCACAACGCAGACCTCCACCAAGAAAAAGAGGCAATACAATTTGAAGAAATAATATTTTAAATATATGTTTAGTTGATGCGGATTCATTTAAAATTGCAGTTGATTCTTCCCTTTCTGAATAACTGCTAACCCAGATAATCCCTTCAGTATTTGTAAAATTTGTTTTGAGATATCTTGCCCATTTAGAAGCAGACAAACTTTTTGATTGATTGAATTTTGTTGGCTGTGGAAAAAAAAAGCTAAAAAAACGGTCAGTACTGGAGTAATTGTAAGGTCTTGCTTGACTTGCATTTCGTAACAAAGACAGGGGTGTACGCTATTCAGCACCTGTAATATATATCAGTCATATATAAAGCGTATGTGTGGCAAGAAACGTGTTCCCGTTGATTACGTGAAATCCCACAGGGTGAGACAAAATAATTTTGCAACGGACTTCTAGCGCACCCTGTGTCCAGTCATTGATCAGGTCCTTGGTCTGGCACACACCCTGAACTTTGGGGGCATGTACACCAATCCTGTGGTGCCAACAAGATCCGGCAGCACCTCCCCCTCAGGCACGTGGAACGTGAATGCCTGAACTAAGGCAGTGAGGACGAGGAACATTTTCTGGCGAGCCAAGATTTCTCCTGGACAGGAGCGTTTTCCTTGAAAAGAAATATACTGATTCTGTACTATATCGTATAACTTCCTGTGTGTTTTCTTGTCAGACCAAATCCCGTAAAGGCCAACTTTACGTTAAAAGAAAGCAATATACAACATGAAAACCTCTTTTTAAAATTGTGTTTGAGATGCAGTATTTTTTCCGTTCTCATTGAAAATAATGCACTCTGAAAGTCACAATGAGAAATTTTATAAGTTATTGAAAGAGGAAAAGTAAATTAAATGAATAACACGGTTTAGTTGAAACATCTTGCCAGCTTTTTTATAGAAAAAGTTCTTGTTTTGATAAATCGTTACCTAAGGAAAACGGGATAAACGCCTCAACTTTTTTCAATCCTCCTTCATCATTCAAAAATCTCGCTGGTTGAAATGCACGTGGGTTGGGCCAGATTTCGTCGTTCATCAACACAGACCAAAGGTTTGCCAAGATGCGTGTCCCTTTGGGGATGACGTATCCATTGATACTGGTGTCCTTCGTCGCTATGCGCAGCACGGCAAACGGCGAAATGTAATTACAGCGCTGTATCTCCATCAGGGTGGCGCCAAAGTAGGGGAGGTTCGGTTTGTCGGCAAGACTGGGGCGGCGGGTTTTACCTACGATTTTGTCCAGTTCTGCTTGAATCATGCCGCAGACTTCAGGGTGGGATAACAGATACAACATCCCCCATGTTAAGGCCGACGATGTCGTTTCAGCCCCGGCGAGGTAAATCGACTGGCAATTTGCAAGAAGGTCATCGGCATGCATTGGTACTTCTAAGTCGTTCTCTTTGTGTTTTGTTTGGTGCAGGAAAGCATCGACCAGACTTCTCGTGGCGGTTGCATCATACCCCTTCTTGTGCTGATCCAGTAGCCGTTTGGAGTAGGTTGCAAATGCGTGCCATGCGTCCCTCTCTTTGCGGCACTGCGGTAAAAACGAAAAGAACGGCAGAAAATTCTGAACCGAAACTTGAGAGTTGATTGCAAATGCCATGTTATACGAATCGATCAGCTTGTTGAAATCTGGGTCGTCGTAGTCCCTTCTGTTCCCAAACAATATGGTACCTATGATGTTTGATGTCGTGGCGCTTATGACAGTACGAAAGTCGAACGGTTCGCCATTTGTAGCTCGGATCCGCTGCAGGAGAGCATCGATTTCATCCTTTATTTGTTCCTCGATATTAGCTTTTGCCAGGTATTTCAATATAAATTCTCGCTGTGCAATCTGGTTCTTTCCATAATCGGCGCATAATAAACCTGGAAGATAGTTCACGAATTATTCACGGGTATGTGTATTATATTATATCTGAGCAACGGAAAAAATTATTATTTATTTTTTTTTACAGTATCATCACGTGTAAAATGTACGTTGAAAATCACTATAGAAGTTAAAACGGTCTTCGCGTTGAAGCTTTATACATGTAAACTAGGTTTCTGCCAGTTGAATTCTTAGGTCGACCACTGTGTTGTACAAGTTAAGGTGCTAGTAGCACACTAGTCACTATCACATCCACCCCCAACCTCTAGGCCTAGATACATGTATTAACGTACCTTTCCCATCGAGGAAATCAAAAGTCGGCATAGGCGGTCTACCTGACGTCAACGCCCCCTTTCTCTGAAACGCTTCCCGGATAGTCTCATAACCGCTTAATATAACGGTTGTTGTTGTTCCCATTTTGACGCTGAATACGCTACCATACTTTTTAGCCCAATTCATCAGGGTAACCTGAGGATGTTTTGCGAGAAAAGGTAGAACTCCAACCAATGGGAGCCCCCATGGACCTGGAGGGGGGCTTAGACTGTCGCCCTGCCTCGTGAGGCTAAGGAATAAAATTGCCAAGACTACGCACAATATAAGAGGCGTATATTGAAGTGCCTCGTAGACCGCTGTGACATTGACTACGGCCATGTTAACCTTTCCTGACGCGTCGACTGCAAGGCGTATTTGACCTATAATGACAACTAAATTGTTACATTACGTCTTTCATTTTTTACAAGAGTGTCCTTTACTATGCAAAGCGATAAAGGGAGCGTGACCAGGGCTCCGTATCTCGAAAGGTTCGCTATGTTGCGCACGAGCGTTAGTGTCTCGATTCCATAACCGATTCTATTTCGAGATACGGAGCCCAGGCTACTTTCAGCAACACCCCGCATTAAGCACGCTAGCTCCGCCTGTGGAGACCGGGCATTTCAGCGTTAGTTTAAATTTAAGTTGAACATTATGGGAGCTGATGTGTCGGGTAAACACTCTGGTACATAGTTCTTCAGTCTAGTAGAATTATTATATTATGTTTCTTTCCAAGGAAAACGCTCTTGTCCAGGGAAAAATCATAGCTCGCCA